TTCCCTCCCCTTCTCTCCCCTTCCCTTTCCTTTTTAATTTTGCGATGGATTCTCACTATGTTGCCCAGATTGGTCTGGAATTCTTGGGCTCAAGTGGTTCTTGCACCTTAGTCTCCCCAGTCGCTGGGACGGTAAGTCTGTACTATGGTGGCTGGGTAAGAGAGAACTTCTTCCACTCAGATCTCTAGGACTTCCTTTACTCCGACATCTTGCTCCTGTGTAGTTTATGTTCTTTGATGTAACATATCTTACTAGTATCATGTAATTAGCCATCTCTCTTGGAGTTTGCTGCTCTGCTGTTAACTCTTCTTGATGAATTTTAACACATTTTAGAATATTCATTCAAAACTTGCTAATATGTATATTTTCTTTTTTGTGAAAATAATGTTCTTTTTCTTCTGTATTTGGTCTTTTATTTATTTATTTACTTTTCTGGCATTAGTAATCAAACTCAGGACCTCGCCCTTGCCAGGCAGGTGTGGCACCACTGAACTAAATCCCCAGCACTTATAGTTTCTAATTTAAAGCATATGTGTGAAAACTAGCTGTGCTATTCATGTCACATAAAATAAAAATATTAGTTTTGATTTTTATTAATACCAGTACGTCCGTGTGAATCCATGACTAATATTTCTGAGAAATATCCCTGAACTACAAGTGACAATATCCGTACACCATCACAGCCACTGGCTGCTGGAATCTAACCACAATAGTGTAATTTAATGTTGTCTTTTTTTTTCATCTGAAGCTTTATTTAATAGCATATTCAAAGGTTAGAGTGAGAGACTATGACAATGCAGCTGAAGAGAGCAGGGTGGATGACAGGAGTAGAGAGGATGGGAGAGAAGTTTGGGTCACAGCTAGAAAGGCAAAGAGGTGGCACTGTAAATGCCCTTGTGTGATACTCTCAACTGTGTCGTGCTGCTAGTGAGTATATTCTTGAAACAGCAAAGAATTTTGCTCCATAGATGAAGCAAGATCAGATGTGTACAGCAATGTTGCCCTGGTGTTGCTTCACTACATGACCGAGCTGGATGCGTGCTCAGTTGTTTGACTTGGATGTAAGATCCAGCTGTGTGATACTGGCTAATGTTGATGTTGATGTTGATGTTGTCAAATCCAAGAAAGACTTATGTAGCAAGAGTACTGAAAGAGAGCTTATACCTACAAATATTAGTTTTGCATTGAGCTCTGGGTGCCGGTTTTAAGTATATTTTAAATGTGAACATTAAAACACAGATTTCTTGTAAAATAAATTCTTTATTAATCCATTAACTCATGAAGTCTGGTATTAGATTAAATGAGTTCCTAGTTAACCTACTTTTATCAGAAATTTGCTTCATGAATGCACTGAAAAGCAAATGTTTGCATGGTCCTTTGTATATAAGTAGAACGTTATGAATAGATTTTCATTTTTTGTACTTTAGCATTTCCCCTTGATAATGACCTTGAGTGTTGCAAATGATGAGTAACAGAATATACATTTGTCAGTTATATAAGAGATGGATATGTTCTGATCCCCAGCACAAGCCCTAGCCCACATATACTTTTATTTTTAATACAATTTATTTTAATTTTTAATACAATGTCTTTATTTTTAATACAATATCCTTTAATAGAGTGGGTGGAAATAAAAGCCTAAGACAAAGGCAACTTTTGTACCATTATACCCGGAATAGTTTCAAATTCCTCTTAGTTTCTGTAATACTGATTTATAGTGCTTCCTTCTCACTCAAGAATTATTTTTAAAATTTGTAAATAATTAACTTTTTAATACCTATCTGCAGTACTGTTCTTCTGTTCTTTGGTTGCTGTTGCTTTTTTTCTAGATCCCAAAACATTTCATTGAACGTGTCAAGGCTCACGCATCAGCACACAAGTTACTCAGAGGAGCTGGAATAATCAGTAATGACCTCTGTTTTTATGAGGTTGCATGGCTGTAAAACTAAAATCACAACAAAATGAAACAAGTTTTGTTCATTATGCACCAATGTGCCTTGTGAGTCTCTTAAAACAATAATTTATTTCATAAGTTATCTACAGTTCCTAAAAAATATTTTGATCTGAAAGAGAAATTAGGCATGCATCCTTTAACACCACGGGCAACCACAAATGACAGTGTAATTCCCAGCTCTGCTAAACCGATTTCTTTGATGTTGGCAAGAAAGCTCACTTTGGTGTCTTTATAACAATGAGGAAAATAAACTGCATCTTGCAGGATTATTGTGAGAAATAAATGCCGTTAAGTTCCATGGATGTAAAACCCATACAGTCACCCAAGGCTCCATGCTAAAAAGGTCTCCATGCTTGGTATATTACTGTGTTGGTCTCTTGAATTTCTTAAAACTTCTCCAGTAAGTGCAGTTGAGTTTTGATTTTGCACTGGGGTCCATGACTTACGTGGTCTACCCCAGTGCAATGAGAAAGGTGCTAATTTAATCCAAATATGTCCTTAATCCTTCAGGCTAATTTTATTTTACCAAGTCCAATGAAAACCAATTAAAATTGTAAATCAGGCTAATTTTAAAATATGAAATAAACTATCTTTAAACTAAAAGGTCATTGTCACTTAAAGAGTACAAAGTATTTATGGCAGAAGACATTTACTAGTAATGAAATGTAGAGAACTTAATACATTATTGTTAGATTTTTAATGGTAGTTGAAGTGATTTATGATTTGGATATATCAAGATCTATGTCTTGCTCAATTTATGCAAGTTGCTAAAATGATTATAATATCATAAATAATTCCCTAGAATAATTCCCTAGAAAGAATCCCCTGTCTTTTCACAGAAAAATGTGTTTCTACATCTGGAAAGACTTTTCATTTTGAGAACAAGATAAATATCCCGGTGTTGTTTTAAAAAAGTTTTCTAGTATATGTAACATGATGTCACCATGAATATTGATACTTACAATATTTATAAAGATAATTTTAATGTATTGTGCTCATATGTACCAGGATGGAATAAATATTCAACATACATTATCTACCTGTTTTCTATTTTATCTTCTCTGTGTCTATCTCTGTGTCTGTGTCTGTCTGTTCTCTCTCTCAAACATACACACACACACACACACACACACACACACGCCTACAGAAGTTTTGATGTACAAAGCCATACAACTCCAAAGAAATGGAGCTTAATTTTGAAACTGTCTCCAAATTTTTAAAACCTTTCAATCTATGGATCAATATTTCCATCTAAGAGCATATTTTTAAAGCTCTGTGCTTGTATGAAATAATTTAGTTTAATTTTTTTCTACATAAACTGGTAAAAATACGCATTCATTCTGGATCATCTCTATGATTTGGATGCATCTGTCTTCATACACCCATAAGCACACGGTGATCCTAATAAACTAATGGGAAGAAATCCTGCAGGTTAAAAATATAAATAACTCCCACTGTGTGAAGACCACACAGGGTCACGTACTCACATTTGGCAGGTGGGAGAAACTTGGAAAGGATTGAGTCTTTCTGTAACGTAGTGTAATTAAGGAACTCGTGGACTCCAGAAGCCCGTACTCCAGCAGCTGGTTTCTGAAATACTTTACAAAAGATGATTTAATTTCAGGAATATAAAATCTTCTGCCACAGTGGATCCCTGTGCTATTTTCAGCTTTTTTTGACATCCAGTTCCTCTGTTTGTAAAATTGTTTTCGTTTATGATTATACACAATTCAAAGCATAAAGATATCTCTGTTTTTGTTTGAAGACGTGTAAATAAAATGACAAGAAAATATGATTGAAAACGCTTTGGGGAGTCTGTGGGTTCTCTTTTTTCTTTACTTTAAAAGGAATTAGGAGAAGCACTGTGTTGGGTGGCATTTTCTCATGTGACTGCTTGGTTATTGGTCAGCGCGTTGCCTGTTCATTTTCGTTATCATTTCACACAATATTGGTGGTATGGCCACTGCGTCTTCTCCATAGTTTCATTTTCTCATTAGGCTCTTATCTTCAGCTTTATTTTTGTTAATGTTTGAGCATTGAAAACTGTAGATCAATTCATTGCCATTTACCATGTTGTCTTTATCTTAGGATTGTTCCCACAAATCATTATTTTCAGGTCTTATTTCGGGAATGTAATGTCTTGATTTCTTTTCTTTTTAGTTACACCTTTGAAAATATAAATCTTCCTGCTCTATGGTTTGGTAATGGAGCAAGTAATTAGAAAAGATTTTTTAAATGAGTAAATTAAATTTCTGAAACATTTGATAATTATAAGGACTTATTGTTTTATTTGTGTAATATTGCTACAAGGTTCTTAAATTAAAATAAAACTAAATTTATTGAGAAAAATTTCAAGTCTTCCTAAGTGTTTAAATGCTTTCTCAAATTTTGCACAATTAGTCTTCAGTGTTAGGAGGTCCATATATATTATTAGTAAGCTTTAACCCTATCTAGGTTTAAACTGAAAAAAAATAGTACAATTTCCCAGATGCCCAATTTGTGATCCTTATTGGTTGCTGGATTTTTACAATTGAAATGATAATGTTATGTTTAGATTTCTTTATGGTCTTAATGCTCTTAGATAAGGGAAATGCTGACTATTAAAAGAATAAATGTCAAAACAATTTTAAAAGTAAAAATAAAATCAAACTAGTATAATCTTAAAGCAAAATTCCTATATATATTTTGTTTTATATTTAAAAGGATTAGTTTACAAATTTGAATGTGTCAGAGAAATCTATAGACTCAAAACACTTCCTAAATTTTTTTTTTTGCTTTTATTCTTTCCTGTGCTGTCCTGTCATTCAAGGGGAAATTGTAACATTTTATAAAATATATTATATATTCCATTTCATGAACATATGTCATCTCCATGGGTAGTGGTCTCTTCTGCCATGTTCTATTTTAGATAAGAATAAATCATCTGTACAACACAGCCATTCTGTACATTATTTTTCTATTAAGAATAGGTAAAACACTGCATTTACACTTCCATACATAAAATTGTATGAAAATAATATTACCTTCTATTAAATTGTACTTCAATGTTCTGTTTTACTTGCAGCTGAATGCGGTGCATCTGCAACAAATAATGAAGGGATTTTGCTTTCTCCAAATTATCCACTCAACTACGAAAACAACCATGAGTGCATTTATAGTATTCAGGTTCAAGCAGGAAAAGGAATCAACATCTCAGCCAGAACATTTCATTTAGCACAAGGAGATGTTCTTAAGGTAGGTAAATTTAGACATATTCATATTCTGGCTATTTCAATTATTATATATGCAGAAATTTATAAACATGTGTATATGTATATACATCATCGTTTTGTTTGACGATTATACATTATACTGTATATTATACAGTAATTCCTACAGTTCTATTATTACTTTAATAAAAAAGAAAGTTTTGTTTCTGATGAGTATCTGTAGTAGGAAAAGTTGGTTTTTGTAATTTATGACATTTTATATTCTAATAACACCAAAATAAGAAAATTTTTGCACACAATTTCTCATTTAGGAATTGTTATATATAAAAACACAGTTAGCATATGAATAGCCATTAATTTAAGAAAAGTAATGAAAATTTGCTTGGATTTTGATGTCTATGAAGTAACATAATTATTTCTATTGATATATCAAGAATTATTTGCATTTGAGACTAAACATCAATTTTGTGATTATTTAAGGCTAATAAGTGGGGCTGGGATTTGGCTCAGTGGTTTGCTGCCTTCCTTGCAGCTGCAAGGGCCCGAGTTTGATCCCTGGTACAAAAAAAAAAAAAAAA